TGGCTAGCAATAAGTTACATGTTCAGCCTGGTTGAATGGACAGGTTCTTTAAGCCTTGCTTGGCCCAGCATAGCTTGTCTGTAATAGGAACTGGGAAAATATGTGGGCAAGTGACGCTGAGCTGATTTCAAAGAATCACAGAATTGCAGGGGTTGGAAGGGACTTCTAGAGAGCATTGAGCCCCAACCCCCTGCTAAAGCAGGTTCCCTACTCCAGGCCACATAGGTAAGCATCCAGATGGATATTAAATATCTCCAGAGGAGACTCCACAACCTCTCTGGGCAGCTTGTTCCAGTGTTCTGTCGCTCTCACTTTAAAGAAGTTCTTCCATGTTTAATTTTAGATTTAGTTAATTGGTCTACAGTTACACCTTCATGCAATTCCCTGTGCTGGCCAAACCTTGAAGACTTCCATATGCCACATTCAGATGCTAACAAATGTTTTGACAGCATGTCTGAGACTGTTGAGTACTGCAAACCTTACCTTCATTATTTATTATGGTAATTTATGAAGGGGGAAAAAGAAAAGTAGCTTGTCACAAGTTCTACGCACTGAAAACAGTATTCTGATTCACAAAATTTCCACTTGTCCTACAATAGTAATTCAAAACCTGTATAAGCATTAATGGCCATCAATTTAATTCCTAAAATGTTTTCATACAAGTTGAGAAGATTAAATATAAACAAGTCTTATATTTTTTGAGCAGAATGTTTAAGACGGTGAATGTTTCCAGTTTAAGTCTGTTTGACTGTGTTGCTCTACAAAGAACAGGGGCAAGGTCCTACTCTTCAATGCTGGGGTTTTGTTTGTATATGAGGAGTAGCACTGTAGTAGCCCGAACTTTACATGAATGTTGTCATTGAGACTGTCATTCCAATAGAAAAGTTTTGACTTTAAATGCACTTGGTATCAAAATTGATATAAAATGCTAGAGCATCAAGATACAGACCAGCTCTATTTTGTTTGTACAGTACAAATGTCTATTCCAAGTACAATAAACTTTAGTCCCATCTTTTACTGAGGTGCTGTTTGGGCTTGCTGGTATAATCTTGTTAACAACTGTTTTAATAATCTGACACAGGGATGGTGAACAGAGAAAAAGAAGAACCAAGTACTGCATTGCACACAGTGGAAAAAATAATTTCAAATCCTGAGTTTAATTTTGAAACCCATGACAGTGACATTGCCCTCATCAAATTAAAAGAACCTATCACATTTTCTGAGGATGTTGTCCCAGCGTGCCTTCCAGAAGAAGACTTTGCTAATGATGTTCTGATGAACCAAACATTTGGAATTGTCAGTGGTTTTGGGAACTCATATGAACAAACGCGGCCAGTCAGAAGAATGAAAGTTCTTCAGATCCCTTATGTGGATAAGAAAACTTGCAAGCAAGCTATTCATTATTTAGTTACAAGAAACATGTTCTGTGCAGGTTATAATAAAGATGGACAAGATGTCTGCCAAGGAGATGGAGGAGGCCCACATGTAACCGAATACAATGGCACTTACTTTGTTACTGGTATCATCAGCTGGGGAGAAGGGTGTGGGAGGCAAGGAAAATATGGAATATACACTAAAGTATCAAATTTCCTGCCATGGATAAGAAGTGTTTTGACACAAAACTCTTAATGGCTTGGTGTTTAATCAACCCAACTGTCTTAGCCATCAATCTCATCCCCAAGTAATATTTTCCTCTTTGTAAAATGCTTGCTGTAATCCTGATAACATTTCTGTCAAGATGCCAGCTGTTTCTTCATGAGCTCATGCCTGGTTTTCAGAAGGTGTATTTGGACTTGCTGGTTTGGGACAATAATGGCACATCTTCAAATACAATGAAGAAGTTCTTTTTGCTTATGGTGTGGTTGATTGAACTTGCCTAGGAGGCTTTGGCTGTTTGGCTGTCCACCCTCCTCCCATTCAAAGGCTACAACTAACTCAACTTTCCTGTGGCAGTACTTGCTTTATAGAAATAAACCTAGACCAGAATAATATCAAAGTAGGACAGTATTTCTAAAGACTCTGGAAAAACTGCTTAAAATCTGGAAAAAAAGTGGAAACCAACTGTGTATCCACATTTGAGTTTAAGGAACTGGGCATGTCACTGACACCAGTGCCTTATTATATTAACTGATTTGGCAAAGCTTGCTTATAATTACCAACAACATCACTGGTGTTCTGATAATCTCCTGCTGTCCCTCTGAGATACTTCTTTCACCATAATTACTAATGTCATGATTTTGTCTGTAATAAAGTGAACGTATTACATATTCCACAAATGACAATACTGTTGTAAGTCACCATTTATATAAGGTGTTATTTAAATTATTGACAACCAGAGAGATTTTAAATCTCATAGGGTAAATTTTCTTCCAAGAGTAGGAAAAGTCTGACTCTAAAACCAGCTGAACCACAAGTACCCTGCCTGCTTTACTTCAATTCTGAGAGAAAAACAAAGATCTGCTATTCGGTTCAGTGGTACATAAAAATGATGAAATAGATTGTAAGACACTTGGGTCCCTACAGGAAAAATAAAGTTCCCTGTGATGTACTTCAAAAAGAGCGTCAGTACATGAGAACAAATGCTGTCTGCAGAGGCGTTTCACCCAACTGCTTAATTGCACAGAAAATTGCAGTTCTCAAGAGACGCACCAAAGACATGCATCACATTACTGGTGCTCTGCCTCTGTCAATCTTCTAAGACTTCAGAGAAAGGATGGAGTTGTAACTCAGGCTATTCTGGAAGATTTACTTTGATTCTTCCATAAACACCTACAAATGCCACAGATCATTTGTTGCAGAGGGATATTTTCTTTTCCTGTCACGAATACTGAAGTCAACTTCTAAATGTAATCCAGCAGCACAAGCTCACAGAGTCTGTGTCTCCTGTGGCTTGGGAGTCAGGTATACAGTAGGAACCAGTTCCACCTCCTGGCCCCATCTGGCTAGGATGTAGCTGACAGCTCGGTGGTGGTGACTTTGCACTGATCTCAGGGCAGGGTTGCCTTTCTGCTGAGTCTGCGGCAAAGGAACCGACTGGATGGCCACGGGGACACCATAAATCACAGCATCTGGACTCAGCTGCAGGGTTGCTCATCTGCCACCTGAGGAAGAGAAAAAGGTGGAAAAAGAGGAGCAGAAATGGTACAGGGAGGCTTTAGGTGCCGAGTTCTAGGCAAGAACACTGAGCCTAGTAAGGGGCTCTGAAGAGCCCTGTGATATCTTTAGAAACAGAAATAGAAAATGTCAGCACTGGGCTGCAGATATGTCAGAGTAGCTCCAGGATGTTTTCTGTTTTCACAGCCAGACTGTCAGAAGGCTTGCACAACCTCAAGGAAAGCCCCTGGGGGTGCAGAAGCCCTTGGGGAGAATCAAATCTCCTGTGGTTTCATTCCTCCCTCAGGATGTCCTGCAATCTGCAACCAAACAGAAGGGCAGTGCTGATGTTCCTCCAATACAAGTGCAAATCCCTCCAGCTTTTAAGAATGGTGATGCCTTTCAGATACAGCAAGAAAAGCTTTTTCTTTTCCTGCAGATGGCGAACAGCACTGCTTGGCTGCTGTCCAGACATTTAACCGAATTATAACTCATTTTAACTGCACTAAGCACTAATCCTTTGCAGAGTATGTGCTTCCTGTTGGCCAGTTCTTCCTCGTTCCCTGTCCCCCAGCTCCCCAGGGAGGTGGAGGCTGGAGCAGCTCTTGCCATGGGCAGCACATATCACTCCTTAGCCTTGAACCATTTCCAGTGTCCACAAACCAACTACGGTGCTCTCATGCTACTCAGCATCAGGACTTCCCAGGTACAAATGTGGCTACGAGCCCAGCCGTCAGCTTTCTCTATTTGCTTAGTGCAAGGGTAATGTTTTCTGGAATATCATTGCTGTCCCTTTTCCATAGCTGAGTGTGCATTTCCCGAAAGTGTGTGATAGTGACAGTTAGTCAGCTGACAGCCTGCCAGGCCTGCAGCAAACAGGGCTGCTGGACATGCTGATAAACTCTGCATCTGTCTTCTTGCCATGATGTTAAGGAAATGGAAAAAGAAATTCCAGTTGCTCTTCCTAAAGCACCACACAAGAAAAGGATTGCCTTTCTAAGCCCCTCCCTTTGTGCTATGTTCCTTAATAGTTCATAATAACTGTTGCAATAATGTCAATACAGAAAAGGCAAAGTGGGTGCTGTACATGGATTGAGTACACTGTGGCCTGTACAGATGTTCAAGGCATGTTTTGTTTAAAAAGAAAACATGAACTTGTGAACTAAGCCCTATGGAGAATACAGATTCTGAAGCTGTGTGTTGCTATTATTAACCTAATTTGAATAAATATCTGATACCAACAGGAGTCCTTTAATTGGCATAGGCTCGCAAAGTGTGAGAAGCTTGTATAAAAAGTAGTTAATGCTTGCAGATGTACATATGTGTGCTGCAAAGCCCTGCACTGACATCAAGTGGTGACATGTAAGCGTGCTGAGATGAGACAGACTGGCTCTGCAGCAAACCTGATTTTTAAAACTCCAGTTGATGTGAAGTTTTATTTGAGGGTTTACTCACATATGCTCAAATTGGTGTGTTCTTTATGTTTCTAAGATTAAAGAGTACTTTCCCCTCCAGGCTGCCCCAAACCTGCAGAGTGAAGCACATCCATCCTCTCATTCCGTGCCCCACCACTATAAAGGTTGCGTGGAGTGGGTGAGCAGAGCAGCCATGCTGCACTACTGATCCTGGAGTCATCACCAAGCTTGTGCCTGTGCTTTGCTATGGCACAAAGAAATACTCATGCTGTCCACCTCTCCCTATTTTGTGTTACAGATGTGAAGGCTGGGGAAGGAATATCCAAAAGTTGGAGGTTTCCAAGCATGCTTCGCATTCAGCCCTTGCAATGAGAGAAGGGGCACTGTTCAACCACCAAACAGGTTTTTTCAAGGTTTCCATGTGTTGACTTTGAGGCTGGGCTTTGCCCTCAGAGGTTTTGTTTTCTCTTGAGCAGCTGGACTTTAAACTTCAACATCTCCTGTTGAGCCATTTCCCCAAAGAGCTGCAGGAATGCAGGCAAGCCACCATTGATCGCAGAGAGTAGCAATGGCAAGATGCTTTTGGACAATGTTGTTTCTTCTCTCTGCCCTTTTCCTTCAGACAGAGCAGACAGGTATGGCCTTTGTTTTGTTGTGGCTTTCCTTCTCCTTTGTGCTCCTGCTCTTGTAAACATACCGGTGTTTATGTACCTCCTGTCATGTTTGCCTTGTAGCACAGGCTGACATCACTAACAGCTATCCATGTTTCAGTACATTTTTGCTGTTTTTTTTCATATTCCTAAGTAAAAATGACAGTAGGTTACTGAGGCATCGTAATCTGGTAATACCGACATTGTAAGAAGAATTTTGTTCTTCTAGTTGCTGCTGTAATAAAAAGAAGTATATGTTTTTTGCACTCATCCTCCATGGTTTGTCCAAATGTGCAGTGGGGGTCTAGAGAACTTTTAGAAATTCAAAGCATGAACATGAAGCTTTGTCTTACTTAATATTGCATGCGAGCCTGCTGCATGCTTGCAAGCCTTCACAAGCATAACTAACGAACTCCAGAATATTTTTTGTATTGCTTTTAATATACTTCAATTCTAATATCATTTATAATCCCAATCTCAACCTTTGGGTCCCCAAAGTATAAAATGCAGATCAACCAAGTAAACAAACAAAACCAGTCCCTGCCCCATTGGATTTACCTTCTGAGTACAGGAGAACTGACAAACACGCGCTGCCACACGTGGCCATGTCCCAGTTAATGTCAAAGGTGAAAGTGCTGCCTCAGCCCTCCCCCTGCTAGGCGAGTTCTGTTGTGGACATCATTGCAAACAGGAGTTTCAAGGTTTGATCTCTCTCACATCTTCAGCTGTCTGCCTTTCAGAAATTATTTTTCCAATTTTTACCGAGACCAAAGAGCCATGAAACCCATGGCAGAGCAAAGCCTAGCCACAAAACACATCACCCAACCATGGGTCTTTAAGATCCAGGGGCTTGCAGTTGTACCAAATGCCACCTGCCTGGGAATAAGCAAGGCACCCTCAGAGGGAATGCTATATCCCTGTGACTCCTCAGCCTGGTTTGGGCTGAAGAAGTAGACCTTTTTTGGAGTTTACTGTGGCTGAAACTCTGAATCATCCAAAGGATTTCTCTTCACAATAAAAATTGGCAGCTTAATAAGATCTTAAAAAAAAATTGAAGTGAAATCATAAAGGATAGCCTGAGTACTAATATCAACAACATCATTTCAGTGTTTATATCAACTGATGATGCAAACAAAGTTATCAAGAGGCATCGACGTGCCAACTCCCTGCATTTTGAGGAGGTCTTGCAAGGCAGTTTGGAAAGGGAATGCCTTGAAGAGAGATGCACGCATGAGGAAGCAAGAGAAGTATTTGAAAATGATGAAATGCTCGTAAGTATTTTGTTATACTTTGTGCGTGTGGAGAACTATTTTCTTGGTGACTTTGGTTTGATTTGTTATTGCTATTTTATTTACTACAAGTTTTTGCAGCTTGTTTCCATCGTTTGGATTTTTCTCTGTGTAAAACAGTCTTCTACACTTTTAATATCCCCTCCTGAAATTGATGTGTCCTGCATCTTGTGTTGGGAAAGCACACAGGTGTTATCCCATCCTGACCACACATGCTCAAATACAGTCTCAACATCCCTTGGGGTCTGGGAGGAGCAATGGGGTGCTGGGATGGAGGGAAGAACACATAGCAGTAGTAAGACTTACAGAAGGAGGATTTTTGGGTCAATGGCCACAAGAGCCACTGTACAAGAGGTCCTCTGCAATGTGCAGCTGGATGCTCTGCTCTCTAACACAGGAATCTGTGCAGAGATGGTGTATACAGGGAAGAAGAAAAGAACAACCACAGGACTGGTGATCCAAGTGCCTCAGGGCAAGATCAGGAGCAGCAGGCTATAGAAGAGCATTGACTGCTCCCTCTGGGAAGGAAGGGACAGTATAATCTCTCATGTAGTGTTTCTGTTTTACAAAGTACCCATGGAAAGTAATGTTATTTGAGAACTGAAGTCCAACTTTCCCTTTTCTTTTTTTTTTTTTTTTTTTTTTTTTTTTTTTCCAGAAAATGTTTTGGGATAACTACTACGGTAAGCTTGTCTCTTGATTTCTCTCCTCACATTGGTGTCATGCTCTGAACATTATGCTTCAGTCTTATCAGTCTTATGCTGTTTTTGAGTTTTCAGCAGTTTATTCAAAAAGAAACACTCAGTTGCTACTTTTTCATGTCTCTAGTAAAGCAAGAGGAAAAGTGCTGATGTGAAAGGATTTAAAAAGTCCTAGATAGGAAGAAATAGCTAAAACTGCAGAGTGCCTGCAAACTGAAGGGGAGCAGATGCTATGATAGGAAGTAGGTTGTTTCTCTCCCTGGCTGTCACCTGGGAGCAGGACATTTTGCTGTTTGTGGCTACACCTGTCTGTGGCTGCCATTTCCACAGCATGGACTTGTGGGGCCAGAATAGGCTGTGGTGGCAGCTGTGGTCCAGGGTGGTGTTAACAGAGAGCAACCAAGGTATGGAAGGGAAAACAGGTGTATTTTCCACAGTATGCTGAGCATTAGAGTGTTTAAGAGACGACTGGACAGAAATGAGCCTGCAAAGCTGACATGAAGTGATGCAGCCAGGCACCCCCTGTGCACAGAGCCTGGGGCAGCAACATGTGGCAAGTAGACTTTACACCTCCCTCACCACTGCATGTCCAAAAAGTTCTCTCGCTTATTTTTGATTAGTTTTTATTCTTTTGTAATCGGAGGTTTAGATAGTGGATAGGGAGGCGGTATTAATTTCCTGTGAGGGCGGGACTGCGTTTCCTTGACTCTAACCGGGTGCTGTTCAGGACTGTCCGTACAGGAAGTGTCTGCCTACAGCTGAGCTCTCAGGGGTGGCAGTGTTTCACCACCTCCCTCTACGTCTGGCCGTCCTTCCCCAGGTGGCTGGAGGTGTTCCTCCAGCCCATGCCAGCACGGTGGCCTGTGTGAGGACACCATCCGTGGCTACACCTGCACCTGCACTGCGGGCTTCGAGGGGGAGGACTGCGCCTTCGGTGAGGCACTGCTGCCAGGACACAGGCTTGGACCCACCACAGCATGCACTATTTCCTGATGCTCCTCCAGCTGAGATGTTCAGCCTATGTATCCTTACCTATGCTAAGCCACAGTTCACAATGCTACCCCACTGCATGCCTAATGGTTATCAGATACTACTGCACCAGACCAGATCTTCATGCTTACCTCCACCAGGTTTTGGTTCTCAGCCCTGAGGTCAGTATTTCTGCCCAGCAGGGCCCTTCTCTGCGGCCCCCTGGGGAGCAGTACCTGCTCCACAGGAGCCACCAAGAACCACGCTGAGTACAGATTTCCTTGCTGCTTCCCTGCCTGTGGGCTAGGTTCAGCACCAAAACCTCTTCCTGTTGCTTTGCACTGAAGGTTAAGTGTTTGCTCAACTGTAAAAAGCTGGCTGCCCATGTCTCAAGGATGATTAATTCTCCTTTCCTTTATTTTTCCCTGCTAGTTTTGATTTTTATTAATTAGTTTTAACTTTCTTAGTGCAAACATGACAAATAAGAACTATAAATTTGCTTAAGCTGCAAAACAGCAAGCTGTAGCCTTTTTTTTCCTCACCCAACACCTGCCTTCTGAAAAAGTGCAGAAAGCCACTCTGGTGCAGCTTCTTAGTGTTTTCCTTAAATGAGCAGAGAAACCTACAGCATCCTTTCACAGGTTCATGTGCAAAGCTTAACTTTTGGTTACTAAGGCTTTTTCTCTGTCTGCTCCATTCAGCTAAAAATGAATGCCGGCACCAAGGAAAAGAAGGATGTCAGCACTTCTGCTACCCAGGAACTAATTCCTACCATTGCTCCTGTGCTGACGGCTATGAGCTCGGGAAGGACAAAAAACAATGCATCCCACTAGGTAAGTGTGAGCATGGAAGTTAGTGAGGATCCATGCTTGGTGCTTGGATGGACAGAAGCATTAGTGACCTCCCAAACAGGGGAGAGAAAAAGGAGAAATCTAAGAACCACCACCAAAGATGCACAAGCAGCAGTAAAAGAAGCAATACTTGATCTGAACATTTAAACATGAGTGTGCAGAGCATTTGCATCACTCTACATATTACCCAGTTATAAGAGGTTTTCCACTCTTTCTCACACTAATTTAACCTCAGTAAAAGGTAACTGATGACCTGCCTGTTTGGGAATGAGGTTCAGTTGATTTGGATTGGGCATGTGATGGTATGATAAATGAAGGGCAGAACTTGCTGCCATGTTAGTTTGAACTGGTAGCTCTCTTCATTATTGCATTCAGTCTAAGTATCTCATTCAACCTCATCCCCCCGTATGCAAGGTCTACTAAAAACAAAGTAGTATGCTTAGTCCCTGTCTATATTAGCAAGTAGGACAGACAAATACGATCTGTGTATGTGGCTTTTGATGAAGATTTAATGTTCACACTAAGTGCTCAACTCAGATGGGTTTTATTTCAGACTATCCCTAGTTTGGTAGCAAGGGCTAAACATCATTAACTGTAAGAGCACATGGTTACAGGGGCTTACTTCTGATTCAGCTTCACCTGAACAGAATCCAGTTTATGTGATCCAAGATGAGGACACAAGGTGGCAGAAAGTGTGGTGAATGCACATTAACTCAGAGATTCAGTTGAAATGCAGGTTCCTCCTCTGAACCAGATCACAGAAGTATGCACATCCCCCTTATAGTCTTCCAAAAGGAAGGCCAAGAATTATCCTGCCGAGATTAGGCCACAGCTATGAGGTGTTTGGTGCAGTTCAGATACAGGATATGAGGATGAGGAAGAAACCTGTGATGACAGTTGTCTGGAGTGGAAGTGTTGTTCTTTGGAAGCTGTGTTCCTAAGTCATGGGCAGTGAAATCTGGCCACCACAAGCCTAACACAATGACCAAATTGTTCATTGTCATTTCTAAGCTATCAGACAACAGAAGTTAAGTTAATTATTCTGATTTTCACCAGTTGAGAAATTCTCCTTTTCCCAAACCCTACATTTTATGAGGAATGAATAACATAACTTGCAGGTAGTTTTTGTCTTGAAATGTTGCAGCTTGAGGTTTTTGCTTTTTTTGTTTGTTTGTTTGTTTGCTAGATCAATGTGCATGTGGCAGACTTCAAGACAGCGATAATCTGATAAGCGAAACCCCAAAGGAACATGGCAAGCAATTTCCTTGGCAGGTATTTCTAGCAGTTCATGAAACTCATGAAACTCATTACTCAACTTCCTGTGGACAGTGCTATTTAATAATCTTCTTTCTGTGTTGTCTTAGGTCCTGTTGCTGAACTCAGAAGGGAAAGGTTTCTGTGGAGGAGTGCTGCTAAAAAGTAACTTTGTACTGACCACAGCGGAGTGCGCCCTTCTGCACAACCATTTTAAAATCAGGGTTGGCACTGGTAGGTGATTAAATATTTTCCTTTGCACTTTTCAGCATGGATAAGCTTCTTTTAAAAACAACTTACTAAAATTTCTGCTGCTTACTGAAATTTCCCAAAAACATTGCTTTGGGACACAAATGCGCTGCCACCTCATTTAAGCACCTTAGTTAAGTATCAAGTTAGAACTACCACTGTGAAACACCTCTCTACAAGCCAAGAAGAGAGACAAATACCTCTCAAGGGCAGCTCAGAGGGGCTGCCTCAGTACCTGGGATAAGCTAAACCAGGTTCATTTAAAGTTCATTTGCTCTGCACCCCCAAGGAAAGAAACTATTCATGCCCAAATTCAGTTCTGTTGTTGGGTATTTATCCTTCCTCTCAATTATGCATGCATCTACACAAGATTGAAAGGCTGCCAAGCTGTCATTCTTAATTCACCTTTAACATATCTGTTTCAAGAAAGAGCATCTTTCTCTAGCGTACATACTCCTCAGCACATCTAGGCAGTTGTTACCAATGTGCATGCAGTTATCAAGTCTCTGGTAATTTAAATAATTTAAGTAATTTTAATAAATACAAGTCTCTGGTAATTGATTTCAGCAAGGCATTTGATACTGTCTCCCACGACATTCTTATAACAAAGCTGAGGAGGTGTGGGATAGATGAGTGGACAGTGAGGTGGGTTGAGAACTGGCTGACTGGCAGAGCACAGAGTTGTCATTGGTGGTGCAGAGTCCAGTTGGAGACCTGTAACCAGTGGTGTTCCTCAGGGGTCGGTGCTGGGTCTGGTCTTGTTCAGTGTCTTCATCAATGACCTTGATGAAGGGATAATGGCCACCCTCAGCAAGTTTGCTGATGATACAAAGTTGGGATGATTGGCTGACATGCCTGAAGGCTGTGCTGCCATTCAGCAAGACCTGGACAGGCTGGAGAGCTGGGCAGTAAGAAACCAGATGAGGTTCAACAAAAGCATGTCTTAGATGCATAGATGTCTTAGATGCATAGTCTTGCATCTAGGGAGGAATAATTGCATGCACCAGTACAGGTTGGGGGATGACCTGCTGGAGATGAGCTCTGCAGAGAGGGACCTGGGTGTCCTGGTGGACAACAGGTTGGCCATGAGCCAGCAGTGTGCCCTTGTGGCCAAAAAGGCCAATGGCATCCTGGGATGCATTAAAAAGAGTGTGGCCAGCAGGTCGAGGGAGGTGATCCTCCCCTCTACTCTGCCCTGGTGAGGCCTCATCTGGAGTACTGCGTCCAGTTCTGGGCTCCTCAGTACAAAAAAGACAGGGATCTCTTGGAGAGAGTCCAGCGGAGGGCCACAAAGATGGTGAAGGGCCTGGAGCATCTCCCCTATGAAGAAAGGCTAGGTCTGTTTAGCTTTGAGAAAAGACTGAAAGGGAACTTGATCCAGGTCTATAAATACCTAAGGTGTGGGGGGCAGAGTGGTGAGGCCGGACTCTTTTCAGTGGTGAATGGAGACAGGACAAGGGGAAACGGCTGGAAACTGCAGCATAGGAAGTTCTGCACAAACATGCACAAGAACTTCTTTACAGTGAGGTGACGGAGCACTGGAACAGGCTGCCCAGGGAGGTGGTGGAGTCTCCTTCTCTGGAGATGTTCAAGACCTGCCTGGATGCCTACCTGTGCGACCTGCTGTAGGGAACCTGCTTTGGCAGGAGGGTTGGACTCAATGATCTCTGGAGGTCCTTTCCAACCCCTACAATTCTGTGATTCTGTGATTCCTAAGAGCAGTCAACATGTCATTGCTTCATAGGGTGTAACAGAACAAGCGGAGCCGAGAAGATCATGGAAGTTCATGAGAAACACATTCACATCCGGTATGACGAAGACACTGGTGAGAATGACGTTGCACTGCTGCAACTCCAAGAGCACATTGATTGCAGTAACCACCAGCTTCCTGTATGCATCCCTGAAAGAGACTTTGCAGAACACATTTTGATTCCAAAATTGGCTGGTACAGTCACTGGTTGGAAAATGGAAGGTGGTGAATTTCAAGGCGACGAGTTGCAGGTTTCATATCTTCCCACCGAGGATTGTGAACAAATACTCAATGTAAGCCTCACAAACAGGCAGTTTTGTGGACACAGCCAGGAGGCCATAGAGAAACAGCTGGCTGGAGGGAGCTTTATGGCCACTGTGTATAAGGGCACATGGTTCCTGACTGGTATTCTGGGACCTTGGCCACTAGAAGATGCTGACAGGAAAACATTTTTATTTACCAACACAGCTAGGTACATGATATGGTTTAAACAAAAAATGAAGTAAGATGCAAACACAACCAATCCTCCACTACCAAACCCCTACCAATCACTGCAAGGAAACATGCGGAAGCAGCCAGTAGAGCCATCTGATTATCACCATTTGCAGCAGTGGAAGTTGCAATGATGATACTTATTTTACTCCAATTCATACAGAAAAGCCCATTTGTCTTTCCTTCCTCTGGTAACACGCAGTACTGTAAAAGCCATGATGCAGAAAACCTAGCTGCTTTACTAATAAACAGACTGAACTTTAAGTTTACTAAACTGTTTGCTCTAAAATTCAAAAAGTATTGATGCTTTTCTATCAATGCCTTTTATGAGGTCTTTCAAATGTTGCTAAAATAAGTCTTTACAATGCTTGTTATCCTCAAGTCTGGTTCAAGAAACCCACACTCTTATTTCACTCATTTGTACAACTTATAAAGACAAGGGACACTCCAAGCATTTAAATGTGTATGTTGATAAAGGATGATTCTCTCATTACGCTGAAACTTTTTCTTGGTAGCTGTGTTTTGCCATAGGAATTATGTCTACTTCATGTCTACTTCAGTTAGTGAGTAAAATAAAATCAGACTGTCAAAGAGGGGGGAAAAATGTTTTATTTTCTTTTTAAAAACAAACAAACAAAAAAACCCAAAACAAAACCCCAGAACTATCGCCTCATAACCAACAGGTACACTGTACCCCTCCTCCTTCCTACTTCCAAAAAAGAAAAAATAGAACAGAACAAACACACAATAGAAGAAACACTTAAAATATTGGCCCCAGTGGCAATCTCTTCCCCGGAAGCAGAATAAAACAGAACATGGGTAAGGTAAGTTACTTAGATGCATTCTTTTGTTCATCACAATAAATTTTAAACAAAACATTAAAGGAATTTAAAACAAAACAAAACAAACCTATCCCTGAGTACTTACAGGCAAACATCCCACATGTACTTTGACTTCTATGTATCAATGACATAGAAAAGCTTTTGGTGTCAAGAGCAACTTCTCTGCTTCTTATAGAAGGCTTGAAGAGCATACTCAAGGCCAGCAAAATTATTGAAGAGATTTAGAAAATGGGTATCATAAAAGAAAATATTACTTCCACTCTGAATAATGGATTACCACATGTAATTCATTTATTTTCCAAAGGATAAAAGTAGAAATAGTAACATGAAGTACTTCGTAAAAGCTTTTCAGTACTCTGGAAGATCTTTGGAACACTTTGCTTTTATTTCCTCAGGAGATACTTTTAATGATCTAGGAAACCTTCAGAAACCACCACTGAAAAGTAGTTGATGCATTTTGTTACACCAACAGCCTTGGTCATTCTGGGAAAGGAGCCACACACAGTTCCTGGTATTCCAGCCTTGGATATGAACCAGGTATTTATAATGTTCTCTGGCTGATGAGGAGCAGCTCCACTGGGCAAGTTGCATATCTGTTCTAGCATGGGTAAGACACAATACTCAACACACCGTTGACAGAGGAGGAAATGGGTTCTGCTTACTGACCACAAGTTTTTGATGCTGATGAGATATATAGCCTTTAATATGACCCTGTCAGGAGAAGAAAACACAGTGTTAGCACTGGAAGCTGGTGATACCTCAGCTGTTGCTAGACTAAATCAAAGCTATGTGTACACACTCAATCACCACCGCACTAAGCATTTGTAAGGACCCAATTTATGTAAGTGGGTCACATCAAACAGCAAGCAGAAAGTTGGTACCATATCCAGGCTTGTGTACTACTAATGCTGCTCTTGGATTGCCTGCTGCCAGGGACCCTACTGATTTGCTTACATTCCCTTGAAGAGATAAGACCTCAGGAGAAGTTTCTAATAATTTCTATTAAAATTGGGATTTTAATTAATCACTATTTTAAGTTAAAAAAATAAATTCTTCCTTTTCAGACATGTAGCACTGAAAGAAGTCTTCCAGTCACCTTATCCCCCCCTCCGCTACTCTAAGCAGATACCAAATAATCTCTTTCAGAATCAAAGAATCATAGAATGGTTTTGGTTGGAAAGGGCCTCAAAGATCACCTAGTTCCAGCCTCCTGCTGTGAGCAGGGTTTCCAACCACTAGACCAGGCTGCCCAGGACCCAATCCAACCCAGCCTTGAACACCTCTAGGGATGGGGCTGCCACAGCTTCTCTGGGCAGCCTGCTGCAGCACCCCACCACCCTCTCAGTGAAAAATTTCCCTATGACATATAATCTAAATCTCTCCTCTTCTAATTTAAAAGCATTGTCCCTTGTTCTATCACTACCAGACTGTGCACAACGTTGATTTGCCTCCACTTATTAGTTCCCTTCAAGTACTAGAAAGCTGTTATCAGATCTCTCCTGAGCCTTTTCTTATCCAGGAGAAGTAGTTCATTTTCTTGCTGGCACTACAATGCTGCTCCAAAACTTCTGATTTATTAGGAAACTACTGACTTCAAGCTTGTACCTTGTTCATAAGTACTGAAGACCCATTTAGAGTAAAAGACAAAACGAGAAACAAGGAAATGTAGTTCTTGTGATGTTGGAATGTCAACAGTCTCCTACTTCAAATGCAGAAAAACAAATCCCTTCCTGGTACTAGATGTAATTTTTGCATTTTGAAACAAATATTTATACATTATTTAGAAAAGTCAGTACTGAACTTGTAATGCATACTCAACTGCAATTTTAACTGATTCCTGCAGAAGTAGGAAGTAGAGAAATTTCCCAGGGCAAATGAAAACATTTGCACTTCAGGCACAAACAAATCAACTTTCACACACAAGAAAAGATGGGATTACTGATATATTTCTGTAACAAACTTATAATCTCTGCCTAATGCTTTTTACTCAGTCTGGAAGGACTCAAAAAGAAGCAGGAAGCACATACCATATATATAAGATTAGCTAAAATGCACTGGACTTCGTCAATGTCAACATCATCTACTTGCATGAATTTCAGAGCAAAAAGAAAGGCATCTAGAGATAACTGATGTGTTTTGAGTAGTAAATATCTGCAAGAAACAACAGAAAATCTGTTACTGAGAAACAATCACTTAGAACTCTGGTTCATAGTAAAACAGACATTCTACTACAGATTCACTTTAACAGGAATTCTGCATTCCTTGAGAGAGTTGAAGAGCATTACATCTCTATCTCAGTCCTAGGTGAAACCACATTAAGTCTGCTTTTAGAAAAATGTAGCTTTTGTTATGCTTACACTTTCTTAAAGAGATTTCTGTATGTGATGATTTTCAGCTTCTCGAGGATAAGAAAGATTCCACATCGAATGAAGAAGGTCTCATGCTTGGTCAGAGCTTCATTCAGTAGGAGAAGATTGCCTTCACTAGAAGGATGGAAGAAATGAACACATGAGAAGGTCTCATCAAGAAAAGGAAGTGTATGACTTGGTAGGAATATCCTTCCTCTGCCTTCCTCAATCATTCCAAATAAAATTCTTTAAAGCTTTTTGAACTACTACACAACGTAATAAAATAATTGCATACCTCACAGCCTTTGTTACTTCAGCAAACTGCATAAGGTCGTACTTTTTTAAGAGCTGAACAGTTGGCATATGGCCCTGAAAAATAAAAGGTTTCCAAGTTTTCCAGGATAAAGTCAAGCTCATTTAAAATGTAATCTATAAAAGCATTTTTCAGAGAAACAGACAAGTGTTTGACTACCTTCTTTTCTGGTTTGCTACAGAACAAATGTTAAATGAAAGTATTTGTAAGACATCCTCTTGCCCTGTCAAACTTCCTGCAACTCAGCTCACAATAATTATTTATCATGGTTTAGGCAGGCTCTTGATATTTCTGAGTGTTAGGAAACATCAAGATCATGTGACATGAGGCTTAGGCAAGTCCAAATTTTGTGTTGCAGTTTTATGATCTATTTGCGAGCAGAAGAACTGTGGGAATCCCAGGCATTACTAACAACACAAGAAGTGCTTCAACACTGCCACGTGTTAGCTCAGTCTCCCAGCTTATTTCTTCACTGTGCCTCCGTATGGCCATTAAAATGTCAAGAGAAAGAGAAGAAAGTTGAATGAAACGGATTTAATTCTCATCGTTCGATCAGGTAAGACAAAATTAGGCACAGTACCAAACAGAAACTTTGTTTTGTTTCTTCCCTTTGCAGAGCAGAGATCAGATTGCATACCAACTTGGTCAGAATTTAAATTTAGTTACCATTACATGGTGCCGTTGCTAATTCCTTTCCTGGCTGGAGGATTAGTCAAGAGCAGAACTCAGCTGCATGTTTACTAAAAGCTGCTAGGAATGAAAAGAAAAAAAGCACCGAACCCCCAAAAAACAAATACCCAAGCTATTTTTGTAGTTCTAAGGGCAGTGTTAACGTTTGGATTGTGATTTTAAAAAGCAACTGTAAAAACAATGACCTTTATATAGATTCTTTAGTGCCTCTTGAACTGTTCAGAAAAGCTACCATAATCTCACGCACTAAAGGGTCCACAAGTTTAAGGAAGGCTTAAGGTCTGTTAGTTTCCTTTAATCAACTCTACCACTGTCTGATCTGAAAATAACCACTAAGAAAGACAATGAACAAAATTGAAAAACAGAAGCCAATTATCATACCCACCATGTTCCCCCCTTACATGTGATTCCTGTCTTTTTTGCTTTTTGATACCACAAGGGACTGAAAAGGGAGCACAGGGAGTAAGCGAGAATGGTCAGGATTCATTTTGCTGGGATAAACGTGGAAGACGGGAACTCTCAGAACTGGATGATAAGAACATTCTCTGTGAGAAATTTGGTAAAAGGGAGTGGCAAACACTCTAGAATCTAGTCCTTGGCTCCTTAGTTACACTGAATTAATAGCTTGTACAACCCCACTCAAGGAAGACAAATGCCAGCACAGAACACAGAAAGGACAGGAACAAGAAGCAGACATAATTCCTTCAGCAACAAGATGAAGAGAACAAATGGAAACCAGCTGACATGCCTTAAACTGATAAATAATGCACAAGGTGCGATTATAAAAACAAAGACCACTTTCCTGTGGTAAACCCACCATAGCAGTCTCCAACCATTTATTTGCACATGCTCCTTCCCTTTGCCAGGTGAAAGCAGCACAGATTTGTACCAGTGAATCCAGACATACCCTGGATGCCAGTGCACAGTTGTCACCATGAAGGCACTCTGGTACATGCCAAGTTAACTTTGAGCTCTCTAGAGAAGCACTTATTTTTCTTATAGCAGTAACCTCAAGTTCCACCTTTCAGAGGGGCAGAATAAGGCAGGGGGGACAAAAAGCAGCTTTACTTCCTTCTTTCCTACTTTGCTGTAAATTACAATTCAACATTTTCTGTCCTTATTTGTACAACATCTGCATGTTCTGGTGCATACGGAGGTCAGGCACAAATAACCTCTGCATGCCAGTAAGGGAAAAGAAAGAAAATTAAGAACCATGCTGAGTTTCAGTTTGCTTATTTGCCTCCTGAAAAACAATTTGCAGGAATAACATCTACTCACCAACAACATTTTTACTGGCAGCAGGTAGATCAAAATCATTCTTTTATTTTTCTGGCTTGAACGGTGACAGTGCTCAAATGCAAATGACAGATACTCTTCAGCTGCAGACACAAATAAAAGCAATGATAGTAAATAGTCAAGAACTAAGACTGATCAAAACCATAACCCAATTCTGTGCTCAATGTCCATTTCTAGCTTGAATCTATGATATTTGAAATGATATCCAAAAAAAACCCACACCAATCAAAATACATTAAGAAACACGTAAGAATTATTGGTGAATCACACAAAAGACAAAGTATTACAAGAAAAACAAGTTCTCCTTCAGAAAAGAAAAGCTGTCAATAACCAGATGTCAGATGTAAGAGTTACAAACAGTACTGAAATGCTCAGCTCAGTTAACAATTTTCTTCTTTCTTCTTTTTTTTATTTACTACCGAAGAGTAAAATTTCACGAAGCACTGATGAAGCAGAACAGGTATTTTTTAAATGCACAAATTAGGTTCTTCTGGGGATGTAAGCTGCACGTGGTGCACACACCTGCTGAGCTGCAGAAATATGTCAGTGATATCACACAGTATTACAGTATGAAAACTTTTCCATCATTCTTCTCTTAGAAAAAAAAATGACAGGCCTGACGGTCAGAAGATGCTTCTTAGGAGTCACAAAACTGGCTAATAGTAGTTTCTCCCTTTGAAGTAATGGGCTATTTGGACAGAGACTCACATTTGTAATTAAAGGTTTATGTCTCAGCTCTAAAAGCATTTGTGAATGACAAATCTCAGAAATATGGTCTCCAAAAAATCAATGCATTGAGAATGCATTCCACAGCACAGTTTGCTGAAGATATCCTACACAGCACGGAGTAACTTCAAGAGGACAAGACAACTGCAAAGCCTCCTTTGTGAAACCTTTTACAAACCTATTCCAAACCTATGGATGCTAGTACAGGGAATAACTGTTCTAATAAGCATGCACACAATGCATTAGAGTACAGGGAACTTCACAGAAACAAGTATTTTAAAGCTGGCATATGCTAGAAATAGAAGTGTTATGTAACCTCATCTCCAATCAGACTCAGCCTGTGGATCTTTCAGCATGACTATCCTTTGCTCATCATGAATACAACTGAATCTTCTGCACACATTTGGAACTGCACACACACATGCCAGAGTTCACACCAAGCAGCAAGAGTTTAAATGTGTCCTACTGGCACACAGTACCTTGCTTAAAGTCGCTGTCAAACATGGCTTTGCGTCCAACGTAGTATCGGTATGTAACTCGCTGTGCCATGCTATATTCATCCTTCAGGTTTGAACTGTCAATTGCTCTAATTAAGGGTTTACATAGATGGAGCTTATTGATCTGTTAAATAAAATTAACCACATTGAATGCAGATATGCAACATCATGTTAAAAAGAGTGAGTTTGACTTAAGAGTATGAAATACAAAGCAGCTTACCAGACTTAAGCCCTACCTTAAAATAAATTTTGAACAGCTGATTCACGAGAAACAACATGCCCCACTTTTTGGAATCTTCAATGCCTGCTCGACTGTCATAAGAATAGAAAAACAAACAAACAAACAAACTGTTAGTACTGAACACTGTAGTAAAATAATTACTTCCTTTTTTTTGTGTAGTAAATTCCATCCCTAGATAAATATTTCATGGATGGTTTTTAGGATAGAAATCTGAAAATAAAAGCCAACTCCTTGCCTTAAAACATGACAGCACTCTCTAAATGGAATGTCTCAAATCTTAAATTTTAAATAGCGCTGCTGCTTTTCTTCTCATTGCAATGAGAGATATCATGCAGAGTATTACTCACTTGCAGCAGGGTCCTCACTATAGTCTGCATACACCAGCATACCAGTTGCTGGTAATATTCAAGGTGAAAGAAAGATTGATGGGGAATAAAAGCATTTTATCCACTTGGGAAGCCTTAAAATCACCAAGACAGTAAACCAAAGAGTCACCCATCCCCAGTCTAACCAGACTGAAGTAAACTTCATAGCTAAAAAGTGTACAGAAGGGTTAATAATATTCCCTGACAGGGTCAGTCCCACCCAACATCACCTTTTAGGAAGGTTAAACCTTCAAGGTTTAACCTCCAGCTGCAGTTGATAGTCAAGGCAGACTATACATGAGAGGAAATAAGCCTCAGAAGTGTTTGTTCTTATCCAGATACAGTCTTATTAAGCAGAGAAAACTTTTATATAAGCTCTTAATAACATAATCATGCAAGTTTTACAGAGCATCTTCCACTTACGTGTCACTGGCACAGACTCGAAAACAGCTCATCAGCAGTTCTGCTGCTTTTTCTAGCATGTCGCCAACTTTGCTTTTCCCCTTCTTTACCAGCTGTTGATCTGCCTATAATTACATAGCAAGAAACAGCACAAAATTCTATGTTCTAATACACTGGGTTTGTAAACAATTTAGTTCCCTAATACCACATTTTAACAATACATTTGACATGCCTACTATTGCCTAAATCATGAGAGTAGTCATGCTGACAGGACTGAAAACAAAACAGAACAAAACACTTGGAGAAGTTCCTGAACACCCTGTACCAAACTTAATGCACAGCAGGGCCAGTCAGAACATTGAAAATAGCACTGGCCTTCAGCAACACTAAGATTAATGCAGCTCTCAGAAGCCTAAATTCAGGATCCGTTATAGCTGAGTTAGAGGATTAACACTCCCAGTCAAGTTTCCAAAGAACAAGACCTGAGCTAAAATAATGTCTTTGAACAAACAAAAGTTAATTCCTCAGTTACGGAAACTGAGTTTTAGAATTCATAATTCAGCTTCTCTCAACAGCTCCAAGGACTAGATTTTAGTTCTAAAACATACCCAACATTTTCTGCTAGAAGTACACACTGCTATAGCCCCACATTTTCAAAAGAAAGGAACACGTACACTACAGAGCAAGTGAAAATTACTTTATATAAAGTGGGAAAGAACCATGCACTAGTTAATGCAGAAATAAAACAACAAAGAAGAGGGGGAAAAAACCCAGTAAGTAGGTATTTGCTATGTTCCTCCCAAAAAGTTTTACTCCAATGTGTGCTTTCTCACTAGCTGCAATGTAAGGACAAGAAATAGGAATGTAACTGCTGCTGTAAAAGTCTTCTCTGTACCCACATCTTTTGAACACATGGGCATCAGAAGACAGCATTCTAACACTTCTAGTATAACTGACCCTATCTTCTTCCTTTCTTGTGCATCTCAAACCAACAAACTTGCCTTGTTCAGATTGAGAATTGAGACTTGCTATAGACCAGACACACAAACACACGCAAAGCCTTCTCTGCGCAAGTATGGAAAGCATGAAGTTTTGTGGCTTCCTAGGCACAAGAAGCATCAAATGGACAACCACTGGAAATACTGCATATTGACAAACTCTCTTGTAGCTTGAACTCCTAATTTCATTGCTTCAGGTCAAGTGACCAGAAGCAAAGTCATCTGCCCATCCCAGCTGCTCAATCTTGGGTCAAGAATTTCTCCACAGATGCTAGCTACTCCAATTCACTAACCTGAGGAAAAATAATATAAGCTTGGTTTTTTTTGGCTTTGGGGCTGTTTTTCTTTTGCTTGACAGGAGCTGTAGACTCAGCAAGGGCTCCAATGAGCATCAAAAGCAACATACACAGATGGAAGAGGGAAACAAGGCAGAAACTTCACATGTTCAGATACGGTGTGTAGTTAGACAAGCTTAGTTGTCTTGTGTATCCCTATCCCTTCAAAGACTCAGCTTGCAAGAATAACACATGGAAATAAGAAGCTGTGCCATCATACTCTTCTATGACCGTACTTAATTGCTTTATAGGTTTAAACTGTGAGTTGCATGCAGGTGCCCAGAAACTCTGTCATTCAAGTGGTAGAGTGAGCAAACTAATTCTACGATAGGACAGGACAAATTTAGTGCACTAACAAAATCTTAACAAATTGAACACTAATGAGCAAAATTAGGCTTTGTAATCAAGTCTCAAACATTTCCAACATAGAAAATCCCAACAGGTTAAAGTACTAAGGTTGTTTTACTTACGTTATTAGCAAAAATTCGAAGATCAAGGGCTACAGCATACATAATAGGTAAAGCCCTGGAAAAGTTAGACAAAGTGTAAGTGCTATGTACAAATCATGCAATAAGACACTTTTTTCTTCCTAGCTGGTCATAAAACTGTAAAAATATATAGGAACTTTTACTTAAAAGATGAATCTCTTTAAAAGGAGAAGCCTTCAAGAACTCAGTGTCTTTGAAGTCCTACACCAAAGCAATTAATTCAGACAACTTTTTAAATTCAGCTTTAAAGGCTTTAAAAAAATAAAGCAACAGAAAGGCTATCTCACCTTCAACAAATCCTTAATATATTTGTTTACAGACATTGTATATAATTAAACATAGATGTACATATAGTTTTCACAGTTTTGGATCTAAAAACTCAAACGGGCAGCAAAAACTATTAGGTGGCATTTAAGTATTGCTGGAGATAAAAATTTATAGCAAACTGAAATTATGGCTACAATATTATATACTGATGAAAGATGGGAGTCTAGTTTTTAAGTTAGACTATGATATACTCACCAATTTTCTTCTTTATGTGCCTGAAATGCTCGCAGGAAAGATGTATTGCGTTTAGGAGAATTTAAAATGCTATGAAACATAGCACAGACTTTAAAAAACAGAGATGTTATGTGGTACAACGTGTTACATGAAAGAGCAGAAACCAACAAAGCAGGAAGGAAACAAGGAGAGAAGATACAAAGACCCAGAAGGGAAGAACAAAAGCACAGCCACACACTTTTGGTACTGTGGCAGCAATGAGAAACACTGTTTCTCTTAGAGAAACTTAGAGATGAACCTTCAGCTTTCTTTAGAATTATCTTTCCCTTCATCCAAGTAGAAACTGGGATGTATATTAATGATTCAGGTACGCCTGCTCTCTGTGAGAAATTACTTTTTGGTTTTGAGGCAGGAGACTGGTTCCTTCTTAGTCCTACAGAAAGCCAAAAAGAGCATACCTAGATTTCCTTAAGAATCTAAATAGCTGAAGTGTAATTGGAACTAGACCTCAGCACATTAGATTTGAAAAGGGATGAAGACAAGAAAACCTAGTCAACCTGAAAGCAATACACAACATATATGGAAAAGGATATTGGACAATAACAGTTTGGCATTTGTATGCCTCTATAAAGTCATGGTTTCCAACGGCGTAAGTACATCTGTCAAAGAAAAGGTGCATTAGTGCAGC